AAAAAATATAAAACAAAAAATAAGAAAAAAATTAACTTAATTAAAAAAATAAATTAAATAAAAATTAAGCGGAAAAGAGTAGAATTTTCATCAAGAAGCGCAGTTTAATCTCAACAAACAGAAAAACAAAATGTGTGTAAGTCAACAAAGGTAAGCATAAAATCGACAAAAATGTATTGTCTCACTAATTGCGAAAAAAAAAAATATTATCAACTGAAATTATTTAAATAATCATAATGTGCGTATTGCACTATACACATACACCTAAATGCCATATAAAGTGCATATTTATTAAAATTCGAAGCCGGCAACAATGATTAGCCGCTTACAGGCACCCACAGCAATTTATCCAATTCCTTGTCCACGGCATCCTTGATTTGTGTACACATATGTTTAATGCTAACGCCCGGTATTACAGCTAAAAGAGAACATAACAAATATTAATATTTATAGGCATGACAAAAAAATGTCAAACACTCACCTGATATGTACTGCTTGTAGTCTGCTTCGAGTTTTAATGCGCGTTCGTACATTTCCTTGGCGGCCTTGGCCGATATTTTATCAATGCCAAAGTCACGTATTTCACGTATTTGTTTTGCGGATTTGAAACGTAAGAGCAAAACTATCGGATAGATTTGTAAGCGCTGAAGACGTTCAACAGCCGAGGGGGATATGTCTAGAATGCAGTGACGACGATCCTTTACGGGGCGGGAAAAATTAAATCAATTGCGCAATTCGGTTAAGACAAAAGGTGAACTGTGTGTTATTGTTGTTTTTGTTGCAAAAAAGAATTAAAAATTTCTTGCAGAACAGGTCTAAGCTTTGATTGATGACTTTTGAGGTTAGGTTACTATAATGCATGAAAAGTGTCTAAGACTGAGTATTAATGGTGAATTTAGACTGGTTGTTTACTGGTTTAAAGGGTATCTATGAATGAAACAACTGAACCCGTTTGACATCGACAATATTTGAGTTTGAGGTAAATATAAAGGATTGGTGAATTTCCAAGTAAAATTCTGCTTTTCTGCCTAAAACCGTGTCCATATCTTTTACTTTGTTACAACCAAAGCAGCACAACAACTTTTTCCACAGTTTTGCAATTGAAAAGCAATGCTACTCACATTCTTGCATGCATTATTTATATTCTCCACCGTGGTGCACTCGAATTTATTGCCACGACGGCGATAGTCAACGAAAATATTTTCCTGTAAGCCCTCTTCCATGGCATTCTGTGAGCAATCCATTGTGGTCACTTCGCACATTTTGAATAAATTCGAAAAATCAATAGTCAAACGTTCCATAACACGCTCCGATAGCGGACCGATTATAAGCACCGGCCGACGTACGGGTGCTGCAGCATAATATAAATGACAAAAAATCAGTTAAAAAAATTTTTTAGCACTTGTAATGCTAATTAATAAACCGCGCTACTCACAATCCAACCGTTCCACGCGCTGATAGCTCAATATGCCACCGTCATCATTCAATATGCCCGAGTCGGGGAAGAAGCTTAGCTGAGTGTTGCTGAAACTGGCAATTTCGGTGGAGTCACGCGATGAGCTACGCTGGTGCTTTTTTCGACGAAAAAACGAACGACGCGCTGATGTGCTGCCACGCCGTGCTGTGCCGCCCTCACAGTCGACCACTTCGCCGGCGCGCAGCTCTTCCTCCACTCTAAAAGCAAGCACGTGGCATTTGTTAAATGAAAATATAAAAAAAAATCAACATATTTTGCTATTATAAGCAACGATGAACATACTTCATTTGGCTCGGTATAATGCCGCACTCCTTGCGATGGCCTTTTGCATCCAATTTCCAAGCACGCCACAGACCGAATGTGCCATTGAAGACCGTATTATCCACATAGAGCACCTCATCCTTGACGAAACGCAAGTCGCCATCATTCAGCTCGCCGGTACGATCGAAACCGACGCGTATATAAAAAGAATCACCCGTCTTGTCTTTAATTTGCTTCAATTCTGCTCGAAAATTTATTGCAATGAGTTAAAACATAATTTATGTGCGCTTAAAACACTCACTTTTCAATTTATTCTGCACCAACAAGGTGACAGTGTCCGTCAACTTCGATATCTCATTGGCCGCCTGCTCTGCCGTTACGCAACGCAAGTCCACGCCATTGTATTCCAATATCTGATCACCTTTACGTATGCCAGCGATATCGGACGGTGAACCGGGGTGTACGTCATGCACGAAAATGCCCACCTTGTTGCCCCCGAATAGCTTGATGCCCAAATTCTTCGATTTATCCATGCATAGGGTGACATAGCGCGCCTCCTCCTCGTACACGGTCGATGTGGTTGAGGCTGTTGTGGTTGTGGTAGCCGCTGACGAGGGCAAATCCTGACTGCTGCTCATGTCCGATTGGTTTTCCAAGCTATCGGCAAAACTCTGATCCTTGATCGATTGTGTTGAGATCAATGAACTCGATTGTGGCATTATGTTCGTCTGTTGGGCCAAGGGATTGCTGTTGGGTGCCGAGATTGGTAGTGGTGGTAGTGAGGACATCATGGTGCGCACCGGTGGTCGTGGTGAATTGCGAGGTGTGGGCGAGCCAGAGTGATTAACTGGAGATTCAGTCTCGAGATTATTTGTGCCGTCGTATTCGCCAGAGTGAAATTCTTGAACGCAAAAAGTGTTAAACAAAATATGTGGCATATTGGTATTTCCGAAAAAAAAGTGTGGCACGAACACATAAATATTGAAAGTGAAAAATTGGGAACACTTGCTTTCACAAACCGCTTTTAAAAAAAGTTAATTTTTTCAAATACTTATTAAATTTCGAAAACACAAAAATCAAAATTTTGAAAAACTCTTCCGATGATTTTAATGAAGCAGCAAAATCAAAATTTTGAGATACAGTTATATATTTCATAAACAGGATTTTTGAACAACGAGAAATTTTAATCATAACGTTAAAAAAGAAATAACAATCGGGATCGATTTATTTATGTATAACGGTAAAAATAATATCGGGCCAATTTGTTTATAACGTTAAAAATAATAACAATGATTGGCATTGATTTGAACACAACGGTAAAGATAATAACAATGATCGGCAAGGTGAGCCGAAGTACGCGAAGATCGTAATAGTTCGGAAGCATGTCGATAAAAGGCCAAAAATTAAAAAATTTAAAGGAAATAAAAAATAGTATCATACATTACCAAAAACTAGCCATGAAGTTAAGTACCAAAATTTCTCGAAATATCTTTGCAACATTACAGATCCATAGGGATCACTTAAGGCTTGATAAATAAGATCCAAAATTTTAAATGTTTAAAGAAAATAAGAAATGATATCGCACAGTACCAAAAACTAGCCATGATCGTAGTAGGAAGTTTGAGGTTAGGCTACCGAAATTTCTAAAAATTAGTTTGAGGTCGCATACATGACAAATATAAGACTTTAAATAGAAAGAATCGCAAAAGAAATAGTAAAATAAAAGTCTCCCTGCAAATGCTCAATGCCCACACATAGAAATATAATATTTGCTTGTACTCAATGCATTTGTTTACTCACTTTCCGGATTGTACTGCACCAGCATGGTTATCGAATTGCCACATTGACGTAACACATTCGCCGCAATGTCATTTGTAGCCGATCGCATATTTATGCCGCAAACTTCTAAGAGTTGATCGCCCACCTGAAGACCAGCACGTGTGGCTATGCTCTTATCGGCTACAGTCGATACAAAGATGCCGCCACCATTGTTATTGCATTGTATGGTAATGCCGAGCGATTTGTCGCTCTTCTCGATCGTGACTCTTCTAAGGTCTCCAGGGCATAAAAAATCCGACGGCGCATTCGAATTACGCTTACTACCGCCATGGCTCAACACTTCGACATGCACTTGCGGCATCGGCGAGCCGCGTCCGCTACCACCACCATTCGCAGCGACCGCAGCAATCGCCGAGTGATGCATTAGCATCGATGGTGGCGGACCGGACATGCTCACGCCACAATAGTGATGATCAATCGAACCGGAACTGTTCTTAACGCCAGCACTATTCTTACTCGCCACACTCGGATTGGATGGTATGCGCAAGCGTTGATGATCCTTTTTGCGTGGAAATGTGCCACCTTCATAGATGATGCCGCCAGCACCGCCACCGGCCATACCGCCGCTGCTATGTGGATGATGATAGTGCGTGGAAAGCGGGTAATCTTGCACGTATTGCGTATGCATAGGCAAACCGGGCGTCATAAAGTCCATATCGAATTTGTCCACCGAGCTGGTGGGTATGCCAATCGCGCTACTAGCTACCGTATCCACGCCGCCGTGTTGAGACTGCTGCGTCGACGTGTGCGAGTGCGGTCCGTGAGTGTGCGGATGCGTGTGTAGTGGCGGTGAGGAGGGCAATGTTAGCGGACTAGAGTGGCGTATTTGACGCATTGCATTTATGGAATTTTGCGTGAAGGTTGGAAAGAGCTGCGAGTGGCGATTGTGCATCGGGGCGGACATGTTATTCGAGTGGAAAAGTACGCTGTTGACGCCGATACCGCCACTAGCACCAACGCCAACGTTCATGCCGCCACCGCCAACGCTGGCGCTCATAATGCCCGAGGCAATACTCTCGCTGTCACTTGGATACTTGGAAACATTCTTGTTAGCTGCTGCTTGTGGCATTGGTATGCCACGCTTCTGATAGTGATTGATCGTCGCGCATTCACTGTTTGGCGGACTCTTCGCCGACAATATGGAATCGATGGAGTTTTGCGACTTAATCGAGATCATGTCCAATGAATTCTGCTGTGTTGTGGAGGCGCTACGGCCAAAACTCGGCGGATGGAGATTCAGTGGTGTGAAGAGCGCCGGATGTGGCTGTGATTTGCTCGAACTAACGCTTGTAGGCATACCAACACCGCCCATACCCGTATTGCCGCTGTTCAGTATATCGAAAATGTGCGGTTTGCGTGGCAGAAACTCCGCACCGGTGCCGCTATGTATGACCTGTTGCTGCGCCTGTTGTCCGCTAGTCTTGTAGAACTCCGTCGGCGTTATGTTGAGCGAGTAGCGATTTTGATAGTTGTGCGCACGCTGATTGCCATACTTGTCCGGCACGGGCGGCATTTTCACACGCATATTCGCACCCAATATGGGCGCCGGTCGTTTTAGTAGCTTAGTCTGCTCGCCCAACATGCCAACGTTGTCTATGTGTGGTTCCGCATACACGGAGTGTCTGTAGTTGGCATAAACATTATTGCTATTGATATTGCCGCCATTCACATTCGGCATCGCTGTTGTACCGGGTGTGGGGCTGAAGAGCGCCGACGCGGGTATGGGATTGGAATTGCGATGCGGATTGGTTTTGATGGCTTGCCCGGCACCTGTTATACCGTTGCGCATATGCGCTTGCGGTTTAGCTTGCGGCGGCAGCGGTGGCGGCTGCTCATCGGAGGTCTCACGCTCATCCTCTTTGTCGACATTTATTGGACCGGCTGTGAAGAGAGCAAGTGGCGGTCGCTTTTTCTCGCGTTGCTGCACTATGGTGCCTGTGGGATTCTCATGTGTGGCATTGAGTATATTGGCACGTGGCCAAGTACCCATACTCTTGGCAGCCGCTTCCTTTTCCTTTTTGCTGCGTTTACCGCGACGTGGTTTCTCCGACGAATTTTCACTTAACACCGAATCCAATTCGGCCAGCGCATCATGCTCTTGCGTGAAGTGATCGACATCTGTGCCTGGCTTCGGAATGTGTATCTTCTTGAAGATGCTTAACATTTCTGAAAATTTCGAAGGATGCTTGGCGCTCGTCATGCGATGCATCGAATCAATGGAATCGGTTTGTGCCGACGAGGTGGTCATGCGTCGCTGTCCATCGCTATAACCAATATCCTGCACATTCTTCAAGGCGAAAATGGTAATCGCATCATTGCGTTCATCGTTCAGCAAACCCATCACATCGTCGACAGAGTGTATGCCTTCCATTGATTTGTTATTAATGCTTAGCACACGATCGCCCACATCCAATTCGGGCTCGTAGGCAGCTAACGAGTTTGACTCGATTTTCGAAATGAAGACGCCGGTGTCCAGACTCAAACCATGATTCATATTATTTTGCATATTCAAATGCACGGTGTAAAAGTGACGTTTGCTGTGACGCGTACGCGACACCAACAACTTACAACGGGGCGCGCTACTACGTATTTCGTCCAGCACCATGCGCTTTGTCATGGTCTGACAATCTAGATTATTCACCTTACAGATGACATCATTCATTTTCAATTTGCCAAAAGCGGGCGAACTATTGGTGACGCCACACACCAATTGCCGATTGTTGCTGTCATCCAATATTATGCCAATATCGCTATCGGAATGATAGTTCAACTCAATGTCGAGCAGATCTTCGGCCTCGTAGGTGCTCATGCGAAAGCTGCGTCGCGACGTACTATCAATATTCTGATTTTCAATTTGCTCCTTCAATACGTCGATTTTCTTTTGCGCTTCATCCTTTTGCTTTTTTATTTTCTCGCTATCACGTATGGCCGAGAGCAGATCAGAGATCGCCTTGTCGCGTTCTTTACGCAAATTATCGCAGAGCGACTTTACCGAATCGCGCTCCTGCACGATTTTCTCACGCTGCGAAATGGCCCAATCGCGCACGCCTTTCGCCTGTTCGGCATCCTGCAGCGCGCGCTCCACCTCCGAGTTGGCCTTCTCGAGGCTTTTGCGCAACTTTTCCACCTCCTTGAAATCATCTTTGCTATCGGAAAACTCCTTCGACCACGAGTTGGACTTGAGTAAATCGCGCTTTTGCAATTCGGCATTGGCCTGGTGCAACTCATTGATTTCCGCTTGATATATTAGGTCGTTTTTCTTGTAATTCTCAATTTCTTTTTTGGCTGCCGATAAGTCGTCGAACATTTTCTGATGCTCATGCAATACATTGTCCTTCTCGGAAAGCAGCTGTTTGAGCTCCTCATCGATGCGATTGCGTTCCACCGTTATGAGTAGCACTTTCTTTGACTCCTCGGAAAGTAGTGACTTCAACTTTTGTATCTCCTTTTCCATTGTGTCACGCATTAAATTGAAGTGCTCACGTGATTCACGATAGAAATTGCGTTCCTTCTTCACATTGTCCAGTTCGGCAAATGTCGAGTTGAAGCTCTTCTTATACTTTTCACGCTCGGCAATAATCAATTTGCGTTCATTCACCAATTCAACGTTGTGTTCTTTACATAAATCCAACTCCTCCAGCAACTTTTCACTTTGCTGCAGCAATTTTTCATTATCAGCGCCACGTCCGACCGCCACGTCGCCATAATAGTACGCATTCGCCGCCGCATTAGCGGACTTATTGCCATTCTCATTTTCTAAACGTATCAGCTGGCGCTCCAGTTTTGTATTCTGTTGCTTGAGACGCGCATTCTCCGCCATAACATCGATAAATTTATTACGTTCACTGCTCTCCAATTGCGCCATAGCGTTCACATATTGCTCCTGATAGTAGCCGACCTGATCGCGCAACTCTTCACAACGGCACAACGGATCGGCACGCTGATGTCGCATCTGACTTATTTCCATGAAAGCCGGACTGTACGGCGATGACTTGATCACCTCGTATTGTGAGCCATTCGAAACATTGGCGTTGTTTACATTGCCGCCAGCGCCAGTGGTGTTGCCGCTGACAACGCCGCTGCCACCGCCACTACTGTTACCACTGCTTTGTCCATTATTGTTGGCCAAATTGGCCGCATTTGTGTTGGCACTAGAATTCAATGTGGGACGAAGCGTGCGGTCATAACCGACATACTCGGGACTTTCTTCTGCAGACGGAAATAAATTGAAATGGTAATTTTAAAAGTGTGATTTTTGTTTTGTTTGTCTTACACTGCAGAATTCAATTGTTACTAACCTTCTTGGCTACTCGTACTCGTTAAAGAGAGATCTCCAGATGCCATCTTCGCCATCACACCATTTTCTCAAGTCACAAGGGTCACTTTTAAAATACACTGATGATTTGAAGAGTGTAAATGTTTACAGTTTTTTATTTTTTGTTAAATTTTTGTATTTTTTTTTGTTTGTTTTAAATTATTATTTACTTTTATAAGACAATAAATGTTTTCACAAACTTGTAAGAAATTATAGCAACAGTGAGGATAGCAGCAATGAGGATAGCAGCATTCACAGAAATTAGCACAAACAAACGTAAAAACTTAAAATTAGATGCATAATTATAACAGTTAGGTTAGGTTAAATGGCCGATACTCCAAAGCAGATGGGAGTCATAGCAGTTAGAAAAATTAAATGAATTTGATTTTGATCGTTCAGTTTGTATGACAGCTATGTATGTGCTATAGTGGACCGAGCTGAACAATTTCTTCGGAAATTGTGCCGATGCCTCAGATTAATCTAATATAATGCCTTAGATAAAACTCCATGTAAAATTTCGTGAAAATACCTCGTCAAATAAACAAGTTTTTCATACAAGAACTTTATTTGGATCGTTCAGTTTGTATGACAGCTAGGTGCTATAGTGGTCCGATCTGAACAATTTTTACAGAGATTGTAGAGTTGCTTTGGACCATAACATAAGTCAAATTTCGTGTAGATATCTCGTCAAATGAAAAAGTTTTACATACAAGCATTTGAATCCGATCATTCAGTTTGTATGATAACGGCGGTTCCGAGAAATAAGCAGCTTTTTGGCGAGAAAAGAGCATGTGCAAAATTTCAAATCGATATCTCAAAAACTCATGTAAACAGACAGACGGACATGGCTAATTAGACTGAGCGCTCACGCCGATCAAATATAAACACCCAAAAGGGTGTAACAAACTACGTGCCACACTTAAAAAAATCTGTTCAGGGTATAAGTAATACATATATAACACTCAAGATAGCTCAATTAGCGAAGCAAGAATATTAAGAAGTACATGCCATTAATTTAAATCGACCAAACCTTTATATCGCACTTGTTAGTAGCAAACTGGGTTAGTATATGTGCATGTATGCTCTTTATTAAAGTATATACATACATATGTATATATAAAAAAATATGTATTTTACACCTTTTGTACTACGCACTGAAACAATAAAAATAATAAAAATAATAATAAAAAATGAATCCAAAACCAAGATATGATAAGTTATCTACGTTCATACTAGTGCAGCAGCACGAGCTCAAGTAATAGAAAACAAGCACTTTAACATATACATATGTATATGCATACAAATGATTGTATTTCGAGTTGAAAGTTAAAATTAATTATAAACAAACATTCACTAACTATTGACTTTTCATGAACTGAATACAACCACACACATACCTACATTCATAAATGGAAAATAAGATATGAGTTAAGATATAAATTGATAAGAGCAACAGGCTCACTAAATCGGTGTAGGAAGTTGAGTCAGTGTGTAATGGTGAAACAAAACTCTTGACTCCAGGCTAATTGTTTTAGTGGCTGCCCACCTCAAATTTGCTCACGTCTAAAGTACACCATGCGTATTTACAGATACTAAGCATAATTATTAAGCACAAAAAGGCGTTGCTGGTTGTATTTATGGTAATAGTATGTCAAACTTTTGTAGTTCTAACATTACTTGTATTTAATTACAGTGTTTAAGCAGTAAATAAAAGCTGGAATACCGCTGCCTTGGGCAATAATACATAGTAAATTTCATAAAGTTATAAGAACCTGAGCGATCTGGGCGATCAACAGTTTGTATGGCAGCTGATGGTCCGAAGTAAACAATTTGTTCGAAGATTATAGAAAAATTAAAAAAATCTGTAACCAATTTTGTGAGGCTGTGTTGTCAAATAAAAAGATTTGCAATTCAGGAACTTGATTTCGATTAGTGATCCTAACACTTTGGAGATTACGAAAATAATCTATGCCAAATTTTGTGACGATATCTTGTCAAACAAAAAAATGTTTCAATTTTGTGACAATTTGTTAACACTGAATCACTAACATTTTAAAATCTAGCACAAAAGATTTTTACATACATATATCAGTTGTATTTAAAAATATATTATTACCGAATTTATAAAAAGTATTAATTAAAAACTAAAGGACATAAAAATAAAAACTTTCTACCTCACTGTATGTATGTATATCTTAAACACTGAACACATACTATATTCTAATTTGGATTAGAAAAATTTCGCAGCTATTGCTGAGCGCGACTTGTTTAAAAATAGAAGAAAAAGTCGCTAATATGCCGCTGACATTGTTGCGTTTCAATACGATTTTTTATGATTGGACAAGGTCGTATGCAAATTTGGTCGACGATTAAACTAATAAAAAAGTCTTATCGCTTTTATTTTGGTTGAAAGATTATTGCAAAATAATGCTTTTTACTATTTTTAAACTTAAAGCTAAAATTAAAACACACCCAATACACAAATAAACAACACACGAATATATAGCAATCGTAAAGAAATGATGGTGTTGGCGAGAAATCTGCAAACTCAAGTGAGCAGGCAAATTAAAAATAAATTATGAATTTATTTTATTTATTTCAAGCCTTTGTCAAAACAACAACAAAACAATAGCTTTAATTATTATGATTATTGCCGCGGTTTGGGTGTTTTTTTGCTGCTTTAGGGGCAAATGAACTGAGGCAATGCTCAAGACATGAAACACAGCAAAAACAAACATTGCGTTCGCGGCAGTCGACGCCAATAATCGTGTATGAAAAGCGGCTTAAATCCGGGTAACTTGTTGAAGACAACTCAACTTAAAAAAAAAACAACAACAACAATAATAATAAAAATCGTATAGGCAACATCAAAGTGGAAGTTATAGATGTTGGTAGTCTTGACCACAACCACAGCGAACAGGATGAATGATGACAACGACGATGATTAAGGTGACCGTTTCGCACGCTCCAAGTATTAATGCGATCACAAAACTTAAAATGAAACTTGCACAAAGTAGAACACGCAATAAACGAAAAATTAAAAATAAAATACATATAAATATGTACGTATGTTAAATGAGTGTGAAGCAACTACATAATTTCCAAATGTTCCGAATCTGTACATTTCACAATGAAAATATGAAGCTAATAGCCAAACCAACATGGCGAGTAATAAACCAGTAATAATTCACCGGTCTGAAATCTTTGCAGCTAACCAGTTAGCAGAGCCACCACCAGTAACTCACCCAAGCAGACAAAAAAGAAAACAAAAACAAAACATCAGCAGCGAATAACAACAACGAATAGATAAAGCAAAAGCAAAAACAAATAACTACCTGTGGTACTCCGGCGTACGGGCGGTAATGTAAAGAAGCACAACTGTTGCGCGCACAATACACAATGGTTGAATGATTTGAATGGAGCAACTCTCGCGTAATTAGCAAAAATCGAGGTGAACACAAGCATACCTACAAACGTACTATACATATCGTAGATTTCATACTAATTAGTATTTGGACGGTATTGTTACGTACATCTACATATAGTTATGTACTGGGTAGGGTGGTTAGTAATAAGATGACGAAGCGCTGCATGTGGCACAGCGCACACAACTGGAGTTTGTGAATCGTTATAATATATGCAGTGCAATTGCTGATGTATATATGTATGTGCATTAAGACTGCAGACAGCAGACTTACTTGAATAATTTCAACGCCTCTTTTAATTGAGTTTTATTTACAGGGAAAGCTTTGTGCACCAAAATGTATGTAAAGTGTGGTAGGTTGAGATCAGTGCAGCACCGAAAATTTTTTTACATACATATATTCCAATATTAGTTCAGGCATTCTTGTAAAGATATAGTAGTAACTGTAACTTAAGTCTAAAAGCTGATGTCAACCCAAAATATCAAGTCATTCCACGTTATTAAACCTGTACCACTTTCTAATTAACAGGATGATCAGCAATATATACATACCTTTTATGTAGGTGTCCTTTTTACACTACGCTGCACTTTGGAGAAAGAAAATATCGCCTTTCACTTTGTGCGCTTTCAAAGCGAGCCTACACTGCGAAGACTGTCGCTAGCGCTGACGTTTACTGCTGTCTACTGTTGCTGTTGCTGCTGTCGTTGCTTTTATTTTTGTTGTTGTTGGAATTGTTGCTGTGATTGTAGTTGTTACTGTAATCTTCTTCTACGCTTCTCTACTTTTTATATTTTATTTTTCTTTATTTTTTCACAATTTGATTAACGCCCATTTTTCGCACAGATTTTTTATTAAATATAACAATTATTAGCACTAGATTTTATATAATTCATACACTTTATTGCTTTATCTTCGATTTTCACTAATTTTTATGTGCGAATTTCACATATTTTATAATAATAAGGCACTTTAATATTTTTTCAGCAGCGAAGGTGAAATTTTTTATCGCAACGTACAAAAGCAGGGAAGTAATAAAATAAAAAAGATCCAGCGGACCGATGATGACAGATTCCCAGTATTCGGTTTTTTGACAAACGATCGGAAAATACTGGCAAATTTTGTTAAATGCCAAGACACGTCAAACGGACAGGGTAGTACGGCAGATATGAAACTCTTAAAAGTGAAGGATTGTAAATTTGCGCAAATATAAATTATGTTGTAAAAGATTGATTTTTATGAATTATATATTATATAACCGCTTATTATATCTAAATATTACACAAATACAACAACAGCTTCTATACATAATTAAATTTTTAAAATGGTATATACAACTTGTAGTTATATTTACCTTTATTATTTTCTCCCAGTCAACCCTGTTTTATTATGACAGTTTTTCTTCGCCCACAACTTCGTAGCAACTGACAGCTGTCAGAAGGTATTGCTCATTCGCCCACATCTACTTGAAAAAAAAACAAGGCCTATCAAACGTATTAATACACACGAAATCCCTATAATATTTAGTTTAAAAATAACTAAATTTTTTATATTCCACACAAATTGTTTTGCAATATAATTTGGTCAAGTGTTTACTAAAAGAAATTGAACTGAACGTAATAAAAATATATGTAGGTGAATTGCCACAATAGGGCCAAGTTGAAAGTGAGGCAAAAACTCGGAAAAAGAAACAGAAGCAAAGGGAGATAACGACGAAGTACCGGAGCAGCCAAAATGGTGAGTAATGCATTTTGATACTTTAATATCTATACTGGATATTGCGAAATATTCTCCTAATCAAGTGCATAACCTTGATATAAATTTACGATATATTTTAAAACAAGTCTTGAAGGTGTGCCGGTGCAATGCGTGTATTAAGCAGTGGGCAGGCGCAATAGTACTACAAATAAAAGCCATGCCCATATATGGTAATCATACCTGCTATTGTTGTTGTTGTTGTTCAAACTACGGCTTTGTTATTCATAACAAAATCGGTAGCACTACGTCTTGTTAACTTTACATTAACCCCACTAAAACAGAATATAGTACTGTTAATTGAATTTTAGCACTTTCACGATTTGCTAATTTCTTTGTGAAATTTTTATTTGAAAATAGTAAAAATGTAATAGGCATTCGACTCATTGTTAATTACCTTCTGCCTCTTTCAGTCGGACGTACAAATGGACAGCGCACTTGATTTGATGCGTCGCCTGCCACCACAACAAATCGAAAAGAATCTGATAGATTTGATTGATTTGGCGCCAGAACTGTGCGAGGATCTACTCTCATCTGTGGATCAACCGCTTAAAATAGCAAAAGATAAGGAGCATAATAAAGATTACCTGCTGTGCGATTACAACCGGGATGGTGATTCGTACCGATCGCCGTGGTCCAACACTTACTACCCGCCACTAGAGGACGGACAAATGCCGTCAGATCGTTTACGTAAATTGGAAATAGAAGCTAACTATGCCTTCGATCAATATCGCGAAATGTACTATGAAGGCGGCGTATCTTCTGTGTATTTGTGGGATCTGGAGCATGGATTCGCAGCGGTAGTTTTAATTAAAAAGGCCGGCGATGGCAATAAAAAGATACGAGGCTGCTGGGATTCTATACATGTCGTTGAAGTACAAGAAAAACCTACGGGGCGAACGGCACACTACAAACTGACATCCACAGCTATGTTATGGCTACAAACGAACAAACAAGGTTCTGGCACAATGAACCTGGGCGGCTCATTGACACGTCAAACGGAACAAGATGCGAATGTCAGTGAATCTTCGCCGCATATTGTCAACATTGGCAAAATGGTCGAAGAAATGGAGAACAAAATACGCAATACGCTTAATGAAATATATTTTGGTAAAACGAAAGACATTATAAATGGCTTACGTAGCGTACAGCCGTTAGCCGATCAACGGCAGGAGGTAGCCATGAAACAGGACTTGGCTGCGGCAATATTAAAACGTAATGTAAAACCAGAATCGAACTGAGGTGCATGTGTGTAATGGGGGAGTATGACATTGACGTTTGCAATATACACACATACAGCATTTACATATATATATAGTTCAAGTTGCAGAAGAAAACGAAAATAATGGCGTAATAGCAAGCGAAAGGATTGAATAAACGTTGAATTAGTGTAGATGAAGTGTGCTTAGCAGGCACAATCTGCATAAAACCATATAGATGCAATTCTTTTAATTAAAAAATAATTATAGCAATGATAGTAACACACAAAAAGGAAACGAAAAAACACAAATCCTATGCAATTATATTCAAATTCCATTTAAAAAGAAATAATCCAAACTAAGTTTTGAATGCCTAATAAGACAATGAAAATTTTATCAACAGTAATAATGCGTGCGTGCATCAGTAAGCGCTTAACTTACGTGGCGACTACTTTCGCTGGAAGCTCGGCACTACGCTCGCACTTGAAAGTTTTAAAATTACATTTTTGAGTGTGGCGCCTACTTGCATGCACATACTGTTATACAAATTATATTTATAATAAATTACCGCATCGAAATATAATGGACAAAACATACCAATAACACGTAAACTAAAGCATTTGCATTATTGTTCAGTAGTGGTGATTTTTTAGTAAAAACAATTTAAATGTAGCAATTGTTAAAGTTGTTGAAATAATTTGAAGACAAATTGAAACTAAATATTAAACACAAAGTGATCGAGAGTAAAGTTTGGTAAGCAAGCTACATGTGTAATTAATTATTAGAGAGTATAAAAATAATGTAATATCACTACCAAGCGAGATCGTTTAATTTATAATGTCCCAATAAAAGTAAACAAAGTATGTACATACATATGTAATGCGCCACAGTCTGATTGTCATTTAAATTGCAGAAACAAAAAAGAAAAGAACAAAGTGAACAAAGCTTAGCGGTAGCACTTCTTGTCAATTGTTTGTACTCTCCCCCCCCCTCGCCTTCCTCCCACGTGAATGCCTATTTTGTTTGTTTATTATTATTTTTATTTTTTGCTCTCAATTACTGTAATAATTTTTTTTTTCTCCATCAACGTTAATAAATATAAAAAATTAGTAATATTTAAGTTACACTGCATGTATGTGTGTATTTAGAACTTTGAACAACAGCCGATTTATCAATAATTTTAAATAAGAAAAGTATATTTACGTGCATACATAAATAAAAAAACGAAACGAAAAAATATTAATATAAAAAAAAATCAAACGATTGATTTGTGTATTTACAGTTATAAGTTTATGCATTAGCTGCAATAAAATTAACACAATTTCTACTATTATAAATATACTGCTGTTTACGTATTGTGCTTACACATGCATACATATATACATACATACATACTTTACTTTATTACACTGCTCTGTATTTATAACGAAACAAACCTTCAGCCAACAACAACTCAGCTGAAATGTCTAGTTTTGAGTGTATTAATTTGTATTTGATTTAAAACCGCAAAACAAATGTGCAAAATTTTATACTAGACACTAATAAAACAAACAAAAAAATTTAAAAAAAAGAAAAAAATGGCATTTTTGTGAAAGACTTACCTGTCTCAGCCAAGAGTGTAAAATTGTGTTGGTATACGCTTTTTTCGACACTTTTTCTGTGAAGTGTCTACTTTTCAACTCATTTTCGGTTATTTCAATGTACGATTGATACGGAATATATTTAACGTTGGGAAGTGGAATTGATTGATCGTTTTTTTATATAATAACCTTTGAACTATTGTACTCCTCAACGGGTGATGCATTGTAAGATCTTCAGCTAATTACTCTGTTCAAATCTGGGTTTTGTGGTTAATAGCTAAATCATGATTGTGCTATGTTTATAAATGATGGAAAAATTGGTTTTGTTGCCTACGAAATAATTTTGTGTGGAATATCAATGTAGTTTCGCTTGAACTCCGTAAGATTACACTTTCCTGAGCAAAGCTATTCCGTTCCAAAGACAGTCTGGTGCACATAACCGGAACAATCCATATTTATCCTGCAGTATTCCTTCAAATTACTTCAGGATTATTTTCTGCCACAACAACAACATCTAATAAATCTTAAAAAAAAATTATTGTTTAACCCTTTCCAATATTTAGAACTGCGCCGAAACAGCTGTTTTCTATATTTGTTTTTGGATCACATGTTTATATGGCCTCACAATTCACTTAAATAGAATTATAAATAATAAGAATAAAGTTCGTTTTTTCTGCAATATTTGACTTTCTCTGCAACCACTCACTCTACTACGCCGTCTTAAAAACAGTTATTCGCTACATAAATGTAAGTGACATGTGCCAAGGTAAATGACAGTTTGTTTTGATACTATTTGTAGAGAGTGTATATGTATTGTTTTTATTATTTATTTTCTATTGATAAAATAATTAAGCTTGACTACAGTTTATTAAAAGGATATTTTTTTTAATAGCAAAAATATGTGATTTTGTGTGTAGCGTTAAACATACATTATTTGGATTTTTTTATTTATTAGGAAAACAAATTGCACGCCTTTTTAATTTCATTTTGTATAGAACGTCAGTTCAAACGAAAGCTGACTTTAGTTGGCGAGTTTAATAATTTTATTTTATTTATTTATTTTTTTTTTGTTTCCATTGCAAATATTTATAAATATTTTCTAGCACATTAAATAAACTAATTAGATATTTCATAAAATATTTAAAATATGCATTTGTTGAAAAACTAAACAAACAAAATATAATAATTACATAACTCTTAACTATATACAACAATACTTATATGTATGCTTGGTTAATAATGGCCCTCGAATTGTTAATTACAAGAAATTGTTTATTTCTACATACATATAGAGTAACTGTGTGTATGTTTATAAGAGCTTTTTTGTTGTGTGCTTATTAACTAGAAACAAATGTAGTGCCGCAGCGCATTACTGTTATCTACAACTTACAAATTAATTGTTATTAATGATTTAATAAGCGTTTACATCTAAATAGTACACGTATAAAATGTGGTTTTCATATTTATTTTACATGTTGCTTATATATTTTTCTGGTTTATGTCAAATAATTTGTGTACAAGTTAAAATTATTGTTTTTCTTATAAATTGAATTTTTTTTACTAATTTTCGAGGAACACACATTTCTTGAAAATAAACTACTTATCTATAAGAAACCAAATAATAAACCATATACAAAATACTTTAAATGTGTGAAAAAGCAATTTTTATAATAATACCGAAAAAACCATGAAAAAAAAGAATAATAATAATAGTAACAAAGCAAAGCTAGCAACTTATTATTAAGTTTAGAACTTAATGTAAACTTAGATTAGTTAATTTGTGCATATATAAAACGTATTATATTTTAGCTGTTTATAACTTTCACTTAAATCAAACAAACATTTTATTTTCGCGCAAATAAAATATAATCAATAATAAGCATTAAACAAGAAAATAATGTAGCATTTACAATGCATATGTGATAACTGTTATAAAATATGCATATATGTATATATATTAATGTATGTTTATAAGCAAGCAAATTATACTGAAAATCACAAATCAACATTTTTCTTCTGTTCTCTTGTTAGGTGTGTGTGTGTGTATGTGTTGTTGTTAGTACTTATATATAGTTTTAGATGTTTTGGTTTTTTTTTTCGTTCTTACTATATGGTATAGCTTTATTGCATTTTCGAAACTTCGAATCTCGTATTTATGATTTCTTCATCCGAATCTAAAACCGGCAACGCGGGATCGGCCATTGATGAGGGTATATTCTCTTCCACCCAACGTAAATCATCCTCTTCGGTCGTTGTGCCGCGCTGTGCATTCGGTGGTGTTTTAGTGCCACCATTTGCATGCGAACTGCGCATTTTGACACCATACGCATCGGCGACGAATTGATCTTCCTCTGCAGAAACAAAAATTAAATATATGTAGATAAAAAAGAATAAACAGCAATAATAGGCTGATCGAAATCAGTTCTATTTATGTTATAAAAAAAACGAAAGTTTCTCACTTTATCTCACTGGAAAACTTAATTAAAATAAAATTACAACTATAATAATACTTACCATCATCGTCCTCATCGTCGGGCGCATCAAGTAGCGGTGTAAATGCATAGCGTTGATTATTATTTGTGGGACGCCACAAAATCATAATAACCAACAACAATACCGAAAACAGTATATGCCAGAAAGCGGCATCGAACCAAATATTGCGCCAAATCTATTGTAAGAAAATATATATGTAATTTGTTTTTGTTGTTATTAATCATTATGCACTCACTGGTGTACAGTTCTGTGACTTGCGCACATGCAGTGCATATAACATAAATATCACTGATGCAAGCACCGAAAATATCAGTGTGTTTGTGAAGTGTCTGTACAAGGAGAGTTTCACCATATTTCTGCAAGATAAAATAAACAAAAACAAGCATAACAAATAAGTTATGATAATTAACACACTACAAAGCGCTAATTTACACGCACACACACCTTCTTAAGCGCAACGTTCTGGTGGTCTGCACCAGCGATGTGAATATCCACCAACAGATGCCTGTGTCCAGCACAGCCAACGGTATGGCGGCCACCAACTGTTCATCGGTTTTCGTGCTAGTCACACGCAAGTAACTTTCAACGCAAGCCAAGACAAAGTACAGCGCACCAACGCCAACCACGCGATGAAGCATTGGACCCAAACGAGGTCTATAAACGGAAATGAATATATATTAATAAATAAACTTAAAGAGATTAGGTAATTAAACACAAGTGTTTTGATGAACAACAACGTAATTTTTGGGCATATTTGCGCGAATGTTCAAAATTGGTTTATGTTTGAAAATAACATAAACATGAATGTATACATATATTTGCGTGCACTCACTTGACAATACCGAAACCCAGACTCATTATGATGACAAGCATGCGTGCTAGTGTGCGTTTGGCGCACGAAACAAATTCTGCCATTAATTCGGCGCCCTCAACTGGTACACCCGTGGCATTTAGGCTATAGTATTGTGCATAGAAGAAGGCCTTTTCCAGCATGCCAAGCAATATGACGCCACCAATCCAGAATTGTATGCGCAAGAGATCACGCCATTGCATGAATGACACAAAGAGCCAGATAATGCCGAAAATTACATAGACGACGCACATTATGCCGTAGAACTGTTAAAAGAGAACAAATAAGAATTTTTTAAATAATAATTTTTCTATTATTCGAATTGTGTTTCACTTACCGCCAAGAGTGGATGATCAATGGCAGAAAGGTAGCCGCCATCAGGTCCAACAATATCCAGCTGTACATGTGCGGAAAAATCTATGGGCTCTGAACTTTTGACAGCTTCAATTTTCAATGTCAATTCATAAATGCCATCTCTGCCAATGGTGATGATGTTTTTATCTAATGGCTGATAAAATAAAAAAAAATATGTTTTTTTAAATATTTTAAAAACAGAGAAGTGGTTTGAAATGTTTATAATTACGCATAAACAATTTTATACTAAAGCAGAAAATTTTAAAAACTTTCATAACATTGAAAAATAATCAAAAATAAACTTCAAGAAACCTCTTCAAGAATATGGCTGATTAAACGCAATATAAATTTAACATTTCACAAGAAATCAGAAATCAAATTTTGTATGTTCACGTACACAAAGTAAGTTTTATCAACTTTTCACCTACTTCCTCTTCCTATGTGATAATTAAAATAAAAATAGACGCTCTATTGCTTTACGCCGCTAACGGCATGACACATAAAATATTACCAAAAGATAAAATTCTACGAATACGCGAAACATTATAAAAAAAAATAATAATAAATAACCTTATCAGCTACAACTAACGCGCGAAATTAATTCTTGCTCTAATTACTTCATATTTTATGATCATACTAAAATTGTTTTCATAACAGACGAAGTGATATTGTTAGTAAATATGCGAGTTCCTTTCTACAAATTGTCGAGATAACGATTTTACTTGATTTAAATGTTTATGCAAAATACTACTTATTACCGCTGTGGGATGTTTTTTGGTATTGTTCGCTTTCTTGACCGATGCCAAAGCAGCTGCCTCTGGTGATAACGCTGCCATGCCAGACGCTGTCGTTTCTTGCACCGGCCATTGTTTTTCCGACAACAGAATTGGATGCGTTGAACATTCGGTAGTTTTTGAATCCATAGTGATGAAACCAAATTCCGATTTATTTTGCATTGGCAAATTTTCTTCTATATCGTATTTTTGTATATCGTACTGTAAATTTAAGGAAGAAATAAATAAGCAAAGTGTAAGTTGCATGTCCAGTAGACATTTACCATGCGCTTGTCCGTCCAACATTGGCGCTCGTACAATTGCCACTCAATATTTACATCTAAGCCATCACGACCCTCACATTCGACTAATGGTGTGAAAAAGACAAAATATTCAATGAAAATTATTATTATTGACTCATCAAAAAGCACTTACTATGGACTTTTATTTTGGAATTGGCCAATAAGGGACGTTGCTCTCGTGCAATGTTGGCATTCTAGAGACGAAATAAATGCAAATTATTGTTAAACAAAATATATATATTTTACAATTTTTAATTCCTATGTGTGCAAATACATTTCCATACTTACCGGTGTTAACGTTTTAATAGTTTTGCCAGCATCAGAATTTGCCTGCGTTGCCGAGGTAAGCATTGTCATCAGCAGAAAMACCTTCACCATAATTAGTAGCTTTCTTTTCCACATTGTTTTATTTATTGATGAAACTCGCACCTAAACACTAAGACGTTTAGTTAAACAGTTAAAAAAGTAATGCAAATTGTTAAAATTTTTGTAAATTGTGATTTTTTGTAGCAACTAACAAATTTTCACGGAAAATCGACGTCAACAAGCAAACTCAGCAAAGTGGAAGAGAGCAAAGCAAAGGAAAAAAAATTCTGACAGTTCTAGTTGGGCTTTGTCAATTTTTATACCTATTTGTTGGGAATATTGTTAAAACAAAACAAACAATAACTACACTGAGAAAAAATTTCGATAGTTTTGTTAGAAATGTAATAAAGCACTCAAACTCACAAATGCAGCGACAATATAATAATATATGCCGTAAAAATTGATTAAAAATTTCTGTTAAATTTACGGAGATTTTTCACATTTTTTGTTAATGAACAAAACAGCTGTTCTACATTGTCCCCTTTTCTGTCATGTAAACAACTACCATATGTTTATAGGGTAAAAGATATGGAATTGGCAGTATTTGTATGACATAACCTCTTAAATAATTCACATAAAAACAAAGTGGTAGAAAAACAAGATGCTAAGAAAGGTAAATCTACTTTATTTTATGTTATTCCATTTACAACATGTTTATTTATATTACATAGCTTAGTCCAATTGTGCCGCGTCTGCTATGCAATAATGCTATTACTTCCTTAATTAAAACTTCAACACAGCAATATAGCGATGGACGAAGTGTATATGAACCGGACTATTTGGAGGTAAATAATTGAACGTACTAAATAATAGAAAAATATATTAAGAAACTATCAACCACAACTGCTTATTTTGCAGTCCTTGAAACCCAAATTTCCGCAATATTCCTGTCTCAACGTGCAAATGAAAGGTTATGATTTCCCAATACTTGAGAGCTACCAGCGTTACTTGCATAGTGTTGCTGAATATCTTGATATTGATGTTTCCGATTGGTGAGCAAGCATAAAAGTATTTAAAATTACAATATACTAAATTCCATTATTATTTTTAGTTACGCTTTGCCATCACAAACGACAAAAGTACAAAGATTGCGTCCTAACTCCGCCGTTGTAGATGCCGAATACATACTAACAATGTATGAACGCAATCTGCAAATAAACGATGTAAACGCACCAGTGTATCCCGTATTTTTACGCATAGCGCAAGCCGCTTTGCCCGAAGGTGTGCAGTTGAGTGTACAAGAACACTCTGATGAGTTTGAGGAGCGGCGCTATGTGCCTGATCGTGATTTATTAGACCTAAAAGCCGAATTGGAACGCATGCAAGCAGGCGGACCGGGTGGACCAGGTGGACCCAAAAAGAAATAGGTCTAAAAATGCGTGTATTTTGTTTTACTTGTACACAGAGGGTACAACGTACGTGCATATATTTGTAGCAAGCACTTAATTTATACATACTAAAGTGAATAAAAATACTAAATTCTCTGCTTAATATCTAAATGGAATGTACTATTTAAAGCTTTCCCTACTGGACGGCAATATAAATGCTGCAACGATATGTTATGAAAACAAAATCTGTAGCAAAGTGTATGTATACGAAAAATTGTTACAAGAAGGCGCAAAGAGTGTAGAGCTTAAACCTACATACATATTTATAGTATAAATGGACGTTTAAACTGCACAGCTTCTATTAAAGAAATGCTGAATAGCACCATTAGCGTCAAAGCGAGATTTTGGAAGAAAATGTGCTTACTTAGACAACACCAAAGTGCACCACTTTGATAGCCGGCTGAGTTGTATTATTCGATTTGCGTGACTTTGAGGTTTCATCACGATTTGAGGACCTTATCGGCGGACGTGGTAACTCATCGGCTGAAATGAATGATAGAAGCTTTAGAAGTCAATATACATATGTAACTAAAATAGAAATACCTGCCGATAACGGATTAAAATCTTTTAAATATTCATCATGTGGATGACATAATGGCAAGCTATCTGCTAATTCCTTTTTCGGATTTGTAATGTTACGCGGTAATGGACGCGAATAGCCATTACGTTTCGGCAATTGTGGTTTTTCTTTACGTGGGATCTCCTGCAATGAAAAATGTTTAATATTTTTTTAGTTGTCATATTTTGCAAGTGAAATCAATCACTCACCGGCACTACGGCGACCTGCACCGTGTCCGAGAACTTCACTTTATTCTTTTCGCCCGCAGCATTGCGTGCATTTCCACCACCACTTGGCAACTCTTTATTCAAGCCATTTGCATACGTTGCACCACTGCCACCATTAACTAAATTAGCACCGTTATGTTGTTGTGTTGAACTATTCGATAGTATTGACGCCGTGGGCTTCTTTTGCAACAAACGCTTTTGATGTTCCTCACTATTTGTGGTCACAACCAAAGTTGGTGGTATTGTACCCGAAACTAATGGATGTTGGTAATATTTCGGCTTATAATTACCAGGCTGCAACGCGGATACGGACGCAATTGAAGTGGGCGCAAGCGCGCTTGGTGGCAACGGTTGCATATTTTTTTGTTGTAATGGCAAGGAATTATCAGTGATCAAAGCCGGTGTGGCATGATGCATCACATTCGAATTTGTTGTGATGGTTTGCAGGTGCGTTGAATTTACGGTTAACAGTGTGTGTGCGCTGCTACTGTTGCCAGCGGTGGTAAGTCTTTGCAGCATTGTGGCGGCGGGTGCGTTTATACTGTTTGGTGCCATTGCATCGGCTGGCAATTGTTGTTGCCACGGCAAAAGTGTGACGGATGGGGCAGCGGTCAGCGCTTGAAAAAGAATAAAAGAAATTTAGAATTATTAATATAAATATTTTTGAGCGAAGGATAACAGAATTAATGTTCGCATACTTACCAATGCCGCTATTATTGAAATCACTGCTGTTTATTGTTGGTGTGTTGGTTGTGTTTTGTAAGAGTTTCAAGCTGCGTAGCGAAGGCAAAGGTGGCGGTGGTGGTCGCGGACGTATACGTATTGCATCTTGCGTACCCTCCGTACGCAACTCCGGTTTTGGAATGTTAATTTTTATCATTTCGGCACTAAATACTTTCGACTTGAATGATGGCAATGGTGGCACATAGTTCTTTAAGTGTTCTTTTGTATATTTGTTATGTTGTAGTTTGCTGCGCTGCACAACCTGCAAGTCGGCATATGTTGATTGTGAGCAGGCCGACTCTGAGCGATAATCGGCACTCGAACTTAAATTGCTGTTCGCGAAACCGTTCACAGCACCACCGTGTCCCTCCTCTTCATGCAGTATAGTCGCTGCCTGACTGAAAGCGGCGGTTGCGAATTCCAACAAGTTTACATTCGATTTGGTCTCATTGAATAAATCCATGAAGAGATCATAATCTTCAATATCTTCAGCAACTTCAAAGGCCTCTGCATACATTTGTTTTCTAAATAATATATAATTAATTGGATTAAATATACATTAAAATACATTATTAATGCTGGCTTACCGTAGCAGATAGAAGAAGAAACGTCTCTTCAAATCAAACACCTGATCGCTAAACTCGTCTTTTGTTTCTTCGGAAAGTTCATCGGTGAATGTCTTCAGCGCTTTTCCCAACAGCTCTACACGTGCACGTTTCGCCTCTCCACGAAAGAAAACGTAATTAGCTATTTTGTGTAATGATATCAAACACATGGCGCCGTAGGTTTCCCAGTTGATCGCCATTAACAAATTCACCGCTTTCTCCAGCTGATGCAGCGCTAGATATTTGTCAACCAAAACATCAGCGGTCAGGCCTGAATTGTGTATGTCACCACGCATACCGGCGCCAGCGAAAAATCGCAAACAACCCAACGGACCTTGTTCGAAATGCAAGAAGAGCAAACAATCGGTTTGGCCATATGGTAAAGAGCGTTGCGTCAAATCCGCCTTGTGACTAAATGCAATGTGCACCAATGTCGGTTGTATGGTGAAGTAGTGTGAAAGATCCAATAAATTTAGCGGTGTGACATCTTCGCTTTGCAATTGGTTGCCTACCGGCGTGAGGGCGAGGTCAAAACATTGAAATTGCGCACGCTCATTAGCTACCATAACAATACTGCTATCCGAGTGCCAAGCACATTGCGTGGGTATCTGCAAAGTACATATATGAAATTTTATAATATGAAATACTATTGTATTTAATTATATATGTAATATTTGTTTACTTACGATGTCTATATGTGTTGTGACTTTGGTAACTTGCTGCACTAGATCATGCAGACAAATTTTTCGATCGATTGAGCCCAAGAATAGTTTCTCTTGATCTGGACTGAAGGCGTGACAACAGATTTGCGTTCCCATTGTTATTGACGTCACTGTGGCGCGTTGCATTTTACCAGCATTTATTTCATAGGTACATACTTCAGCAGATATTTCGCCTTTTCGCGATACTTTTTGCTCTACTGTCAAAATTTGACTTTCGGCGGAGCGTAGAAAATCCACGGAGAGCGGATCATTTTCAGACCAACAATATGAAACAGATTCTATCTGCATGCTATAGAAAAAAAGAACTGTTACTGAAAAAATACTTAGCAAAGTTATATAATTGTGGAGAATGCTGTGCTGGTGCCGGCACTTGCCAGTGACATTTTCAAACTTTCTTACATATCATACACTCACCCCTTTAATTTAAAAACATGTATATTCGCCCTATCCTGATCACGTATTGTTGGTCGCCAAGGATAAACTTCGTTCTGAGAAGATTTCGTCCATATAACAAAAAGATCGGCGCTACTGTTCACGATTAGATGACGCGATAGTTTACGCTCTGACGGTCCTGGTATTATCACGTGAAATATGCGGGGATCCATATTACTAATTTTCTCCGGTCCTTGCAGACGTGTGTTCGGTTTTTGTAAATGCACCACCGTCAACTGATTCGTATTATAGGCTAAGACGATGTGGGAACGTGTGAAAAATGCTAAACCAGAGATAAAACATGAGACAATAAAACGTATTACTAGTGTAATGCAGAAATACTGTAGGCAAAACAAACAAAACACAGCAAAGTTGTAGCG